GCCCAATAAAAACTTCTGTCTACTGGATAACCGAACCCGTGTCTGTCGTTTTCTGACACTGGCATTATCCATAAAGATTTCTCTTGCATGAAACATCTGATCTTCTTTTAAAACTACCTGTGTCTTTAATCCCCAAGTCTTCTAGCCTGTTTCCAGTCATGGAGGAAGCTAACTCATCCTGTCTTCATATAACAACTGCCTCATTTAGCAACTGTTCACAGTTGTGACGGTGATGAAAAAGTCACTTTGCAACCAATCCTTGCATTTATGACCTTCACAGGTCTGTAAAGCAAAGGAAAGCTGAAGCAAGATCAGAAGCACAGTCATTCATTTAGCAACTGCTTCATTTAATGACTGAGTTGCTGGTCCCAATTGTGGTTACTAAATGAGGACTACCTGTACAGCTTCATGAGCAAAGCCAATCTTTTTATATCCATAAAATTCTACACTGCATCCTCAAGAACTCTTTGTTATGCCTGTGGAATATGACACTGAATGGGAGCACGGTATTATTGTATTCAGCCAAATGAAATATAATTGTCATAGTCTGCAGACATTAGAAGTGGTGGTGATTACCTATATTTTTATTTTTATTTTTTTAAAAAAGCATATTTGCTTTTTCAGCATTATTAACAAATGGTTTAAATTTAGGGAATGAGCATAACCAAGCTGGCAAAATATGACAGATTTTCCCCTTTCTGTGCAGACATGGTGGTTTGCAGTCCTGTCTCAAACAAATCTTAACAGCATTTTTCAGGTTTGTTCTGAGGAAGCTTTTTCAACATACCTGTATCAACTGGGCTGCACTTTCTGGACTTCCATATTGCAGGTCATGCCCGTTAATTGCTAAAACCTTATCATTCTCTTGCAGTTTCCCATCACGGGCAGCAACGCCTCCTTCCAGCAGGTTGAACACAAAGACTCCATCTTCATTGGCCTTACGGATCAATTTGATGCCCAGCTGTTGCTCTGGGTTGCTTTTGTTCAGAATAATGTGCAAGTTCTCATCCCTGTGGCAGGAAACATCAAGAAAAAGCCCAGAATGTCTGCACCGGTACTTCTGCTCTCTGAGCACAGTGAGACGGAGAACTTGGCAAGGCTGTCTCAGGACGAACAAGGCATAGTTGTGAGGCACGTTTCTGATATCTATGCCATTGACCTGGAAAACAGAACCATAAGTCAGCCATGTACAACTGAGGCTGAACTGCACACAGCCATACTATTTACCCACATGACTTCTTGTTGCAGAAGAGTATAAGGAGAACCTTATATCAGTGAGGGAGGGGTGTGTGAGAGAGAGTATAAGGAGAACCTTATACTCTCTC